CCCTGAGAACCCGACTTTTCCCTTGGAGATGGTAGGGGTGAGGTAGCCCCGGAGGGGGAGAGGGCTGCATAACCCAGGCACAGCTTCTGGGTGCTGTGTCACTTGAGGCACCAGGAGCTGCCTGGAGGAGCAGGTCTGGACTGTAGAGAGGAGGAAGCAAGGAAGGTCTTGACACAAGAGGCTCAGAGAGACAGGAGGGCTCTGAGACACTACCGGAGAGGGAGCCTGCCCAGGGCCAGCCCAGCCGCAGCCCAGGAGCCGCCCCTGACCTGGGCCAGCTGCTCCTCGGTGGGGGCTCCTGGGCCAGCTGCCAGGGCCAGGCTCCCTCCTTGGCTTGGCCCCCCACCCCTCCAGCCTCTGGCCCGCTCAGGCCTCTGCCCCCGCCCCCACCGCCCACGCTGTCCAGGCTGCCTAGGCCTGGTGGGATCTGGGGGCCTCCCGGCCTCAGCCCCTCCTCCCCTCTTGGAGCTTCCCGGCCGCCCTGACTGTCTCTCCCAGGCTTCTCCTCGGCCAGGCCAGGGCTGTTCCTCCCTGGCCAGCCTGTCGTTGTCCCCACCTCCCCCACCCGCCTTGGTGTCTCACTGCATCTCCAAGTACAGTGTCTGTGTCTTCCCTTCCTCCCAGCGCACTCCTCCGCGGGTGTGAGGCCTGCAGAGCTTCCCAGGCATTTAAATCAGTAATGCGTCCTCAGGTTGCTGTGCAGAGATGGGGAGAGACGAGGCCCAGGCGAATGGTGGCCTTTCCGACCCACTCTGTGGGATTCGGTGTCTAGTGCTGCTGAGGGGGAGCCGGCAGTTGTGACGTCACTCTGGCCCTGCACGGGGCGAGATACCTTCCATCCGGTGAATGTTCTTGACCCTGCCGCCCACCCTGGCGCTGAGGGGGTGATCGTGGATGGGGACCTTCAATCTCAGCTCTCCTTGGAGAGGGACCTGTGATCCTGCTTTGAGGTCACTGGGTGAGGCCTCTCTGCCCGTTCGTTGTCTAGATCAGACTGAGCCCGTCTGACCATTGTGCCAGCCTCCCCTTCAGAGCTCGGCGCACACCGTCCTTGGTAACACCCAAACACAATCGGAGCTGAGACCCAGGTTATGGTGCCCATAACCCCCAACCCCAACCCGGTTGTGGTAGCGGTTCTCCAGGGTTGGTCTTGGGTAGCCCACAGTGCTGGCCATGATTCTGCAAGGATAGCGGCTTTCCAAAACTCACAGCTGCCTACTGCAGGTTCTGCTTCAGCTGAGCAGGAGGTAAAATGGGGAGCAGGGCAACAGGAACATTGCTGGGGTCGGGAAGAGGGGTCTTGGATCCTGGATCCTAAGTTGGACTCCAGACCTGGGTAATTGAGGCCCCTCACCTGGAGCGAGTCACTGTGTGTTACTGATGGTGACTGTCACCCTCTATAGGTACCAGTGTTACTGTGGACTGGTGTCATTTTGTGAGTCACTGGGGCTATCAACATCCCTGTCACTGTGTTAATGTCATCACCAGTGTTACTGTGTGTGACTGTCAGTCTCGTTGCATCTTTGATTCTCAGGTTACTGTCGCTGACTGTGTCAGTCTCAGCAGGTGTCCTTGCCTTGCTGTTGGTGTCTTTGTATATAGCTTTCATTAACTGCATCATGGTGGCTGCTGGCATCTCGTGTGTCATTGTCAGCAGACCTGTTGCATCATTTGCACGGGGTGTTGTCATCACTGTGTTTGTGTCACAGTGGGACAGTTGCAGTAAATTGGGGCCCCAGGATCTGCCTTATGTGGAGTGTGTGGGGCCTTCTGTTGGGACAGGTGCTTGGACCCTTGTGCTGCTGGGCGCTGGGCTCCTTTCCTGCTAGTGGGGTGCTCGTTCCCTTCCTATTCTGGGGCTGACCTCTGCAGGGGCTTATAGGGAGCCTGGGCCAGTTTTGCACAGTCCTCTCTGGAGCTCAGTGGCATTTATCGTCCAGATCTGTCCAGGAGTCATGGGTGTGGGAGAGACGCTGTGTGCCCTGGGTGGAAGTCGGAGGTAAGCCGAGGCAGAGCAGTGGTGTGTTTCAGAGGCCTCCAGCCTTTGCCTCCCCGCCTGGGGACCGGGTCCAGCTGGGACTGAGGGAAGAGGAAATGGTCTGGGGCTTTGTGGACTGTAGGGGCAGGGCAGGGGCAGGGGCAGGCTTTCAGTTCCGTCCTGTGCCCGGGGGCTGGGCTCCTGATCCCTAATGGGAATCCCCCAGCCCGAGGAGGGCCCTGCTGTCTTCCCTGATGCCAGTTCTTGCTGCTGCACTGACGCCCTCCCCGCTCCCACCAGAAGAGTTGGGCAGGCTCCGCCAGATGCTCACAGCGTGGGTACAGAGACCCTCCGGATCTGTCTCTCCCTCTACCTTGGACACCTCCCATGCGCCCTGTCTTTCCTGTGTCCCTGCACTCCTGTCTGTCCCTCCCTGTCCCTCTGGGTCTCGGCTCAGCACATTGCCTCTCCGTTTCTCCTCCCTGGGTCCTTGCTTTCTCTGGGTGCCTCAGCCCCGCAGTGTCTGTCTTGTACCCCACCCCCACTCTCTGCAGCGCCAGCTCTCTCAGCAGCGCCTGTCTCCCGTGGCTGCAGCCCCGTTGGCCCAGGGCCCGGCCCTTACAGTAACTCATCGGCTGATGGAGGCGACTTTGATGAAGAAGCCACCCTCCCCCTGCGGGGGCCTGAGCATCTGTGTGTGTGCACATGCTCATGGGGGTGTGTGCTGGCGCGCGTGCCTGGGCGCCCCCGCCACTACCTGCCTGGGACCCAGCAGGAGCTAGGAGCGGAGACCCTCCTTGCCCTCCTCCCTCTGACACTCCCGTCCCGTGATCTGACCTCCGTCCGCTCCACGTGCTTGTCTCCCTGCCCGCGCCCGGTTCCTGCTCCCGTGTGGTGGGCAGGGAACCCGGCCCTGAGGTGGGAGGTCTTCCTGGCCGCGAGGAGAAAGGCACTGACAGATGGCAGAGATGGAGCGGGTGGGTCTGAGGGCTGCCAGCAGGGGCTGAGGGGGGAACAGGTAGGCTTCCAGCTTCTGTCTCTTTTTCTCCAGTACCAGGTCTGGATTTCGACGTTCCTGGGTTTGTTGCCCGGTTTGCTCTCTGTGTGACTCTTGTCTTTGTCTTAACCCCCCAAGCCCAAGGAGTAGCCGAAGATGGGGAGTGGCTGAGGGTCAGAAGGAGCCAGGCCAAGTGGTGGCTGCGGCCCCAGGAGTTAGTACTGTGCAAAGGGTGGTACCAGGGAGGGCTAGTCAGAGGACCTGTGGCTGTGGCTAAGAGGACCAACACTCAAAGAAGGGGGCTTTTCCAGGGAGGGTGGGGAGCAGCAAAGGGCAGGCAGGGGGCCTCTTCCAGGAAGGAGCCCAGGAAGTCAGATTTTCTCCATCTCCTCCCGCCCTGACTGGGGCAGGCTGATACCCGCCGCTGCCTCGCCTGTGTGGTAGCCAGGCCTGTACTTTTCTAGCTGTTTCTGGCAGTTTCTCTGGGTGTATCTGGCACTGTGTCCCTTGTCAGTTTCCCTGGATGTGTGTCTGGCTGTCACTCCGGCAGTATTTCTAACAGTGTCTCTGGCAAGGTGTCTGACTGTGTGCCTGACAGGGTCCCTGGCAGTGTTTTCAGTGGTGTGGACACTTCCTGACGGAGCATCTGACTGTGGACCTGGCTGTTTCTCTAGGTGTTTGTCTGGGTGTATGCCTGTTTGTGTCTATCAGTTTCTCTGGTGTTTATATGCCTGTGTGTCAGACTGTTTCCCTGGCACTGACGGTGACAGTCTCTAGCTCTCTGGCTGCATGCTGGTGTGTTCTCTGCCTGTGCTCCCTGCTCTTCCTCTGGAAGTATGTATGCATGGGTCTGACTGAGTCAGTGTTCAGGGTGTTCACGGCAGCTCCTTTGGTTATAGCTGGTTATCTGGTTACATCTACCTTTGTCTAGCGATCTCTCCGACAGTCTCTCACGTGCTCTCCTGTTGGCGTTCCCTGTGGTTGCTTGGGCAGCGTCTCTGGCCAGTGTTTTTGCTGTGAAGTTTCTATGTTGCTTGTGTTCCTGACAGTAGCCCCGGTTGAGGGGTAGTGTCCCGCAGCATCTCTCTCTTGGTCTGCGCTTCTCTGTGGGTGACAGTCCCCCTCCCGCAGACTGGAAGAGAAGGTTGCCATATTTGGGTCCAAGTGAGTGTGTGTGTGCTGGAGTTGGGAGTGGGAACAGTTGGACTCATCCCAGAAAGCAGGACAGCAGGTGAGGGCACTGGATTCTTCCTGGCTGCTGGGGACATATTCTGAGTGTACTTTATATGCCTAGATGGGGACATGTAGACACAAGTATATCTTCTGGACTGGGGGTCCCAGGGTTCTGGGGTCCCTGACAAGGACTTACATATAAACATTCCTTGTTTTCTTTTGATCACTGGCATATAATAAAGCATAAGCCACATCTGATTGGGCTCATGTACCACTGCCCTGGTAGCCTGCTGCGCCGGGTTGCCCAGGGCCCAGGGACTGGGCTCATGGGTAGGGACCAGTAACAGATCCAAGGGGCTCCTGAGCATTGAGGTCTCAGGCATTCTCCCCAGGAGCACAGTCAGGGGGGGGGCCTTCCATTCAAGGCAATTTGGGGAAGTGTAGACCTCCAATTAAGTTAAAACATAACCCTCTCAGTTTGTGATGTTTATAGCTAATCAGCCAACCTCACCAGTACAGTTATATATTTCTTTGTAGAAAAATAGCCCCGGCCTTACCGTGTTCTGCGGCTCATCCACAGTTGACTGCATCCGGCAGCCAGCACTCGCATTGAACAACAGACCGCTGCAGGTTGCCTCCTACCACCGTAGGAGACCTTTGCCCGTAGATGCCAGGAATGTTGCTTTCCATTGCTTGCAAGAGGATCCCGAGCCCCATTAAGAAGGGCATTTGGGGTCAAGGTGCCCTGGCCCCAGGGCTGGGATTTCCCAGTCTTGCCTGAAAACAGGGGGTTCCCAGGAGGTTCCTGCCTGGGCTGATGCTGCCCTCACCCCCACTGGTTTCTTCCAACAGATGGCTGCTCCTGTCCCGTGGGCCTGCTGTGCTGTGCTTGCTGCTGCTGCTGCAGTTGTCTACACCCAGAGACACAGTTCACAGGGTGAGTTCTTGGGGGAGCTGCCCGCTGCCCTCCTCCCAGAGCAGCACGGGAATCCTCACGGGCACAGCTGCACACGAACGCCACCCAGGAGCCACACGGGCACGTGCCAGCATTGCTGTGCCTGAGCACCTGAGGGACATGTCGTCACGTGACGCTGACATGCAGGGTGACCCACTGCTGTCTCACAGGCACAGACCTTCAGAGTCACACCTGGGTGGTCCCATGCAGATTGTGTCTCTGGCTGGAGGAGATCTGCCCTTCTTCCCATTAGGGAGGGCGTAGGGCACAGAGGTGGGGAGAGCATTGGCAGCAGGGCTGAGGGCTGGATACTGTACAGTACAGGGGACTGTACAGGGACTGCCTGGGTACAGGGGAATCTCCTTCAGGAGGGGTGTGGTGGTGCAGTTGGGGGCGCTGACAGGCGGCAGTGGGAAGGACTGCTAGTGGGTAGACCCTCAACATTATCCTAGAAGGACAAGGGGAGAGGTGGCGATACAGGCAGGGGACAGGTGGGAGAGTCTGGTGCGGAGGAGGGACCAGTCAGTTAGCTGGAGTGCCTGGGGGGAGGGGTTGCTAAGGGTCTGGGCTGTTGGCAGCCTCCCCACCCCCCGCCCCCACCTATTTGTCCGGGGAGGGCTGAGTCCTCCCGCCAACCCACAGGACAAAGAGCTCTACCTCCCCTGGGGAAATACATGCCCCTCTGCTTGCCAGTCCTTCTCCTGCCTTCGAGGCAGCACCTCAATGCAAGTCCTGCACTTGACACCTGTCTCCGATGAGACTCCCTGGGCTCCCCCGTGGGTGAGGTCCTGTCCTTGCTCCACCTCAGCTGGGTTAGCAGAAACGGGAGCGTCTCCAGAGCCCCAGCATGGAGTAGGACCGACGGCTGAGCTCTGCCGCCTTCCAGGCTGTGGGGTCAGGAGGGTCAAGGGTTTAAGAGTCTGTGGGCTCTGCCTGTGAGACCAGCCCACTGAGACCCAGAGAGATGCACAGCGCCTGTGAGACCCCACAGCGCCTGCGCAGGGCCGGCCAGTGGTCTCTACCTCCACATGCAAAGGTCTCTACCTGTACATAAAGATAGCTGCACATGGCCGAGGCCTTGCCATATGGCCGTGTCCCCGAGACTGCGTGAGACTTTTCTTGTGTAGGTGACTATGTGTCCCTGTTTGAGCGGGCTTCTGTGTATGGCTCTATCCCCATGGGCTGCACCCTGTGTGTGACATTGTCTGTGTGACTGTGCCCTTTTAGAGGCTGTACTCTTGTGTTTGAGGCTATATCTCACGTATAGTAGTACTGTATCGGTTCCTTTCTGTGTTGCTGTTAGCTTGGCCCCTTGTGAGAGACCTGCCTTCGTCTGTGCGGGCGCCTGTGGGTGACAGTGCCCTTTGTGTGCGTGCCTGTGATCTTGTCTCAGGTGTTACCATTCCCGAAGTGGCACAGCGTCTCTGTGTGGCTGGACCCATGTGTGACCACAGCCCTGTGGACGACTTTCCTGTATGCGCTGCTGCTTCTTTGTGGGTGACCGTCCTCATCCTGTGTGTGCAGCGATGTGAAGTTGCTTGGGACGCCCGGGGGGACTGTTTCCGGCATGTGGTCCCCATGTGAGCCTGTGTGTGCAGGTGTGAGGGAGCCGTCGGCGCTGTCCCTCTGTGTTCTCCGTGTCCATGACCTCATCCTGTCTCTGTCTCTCATCCTGGCTTCTAACAACCTTTTCACAGCTGATTCCTTTGGAGCATTTGTCACCGCGTCGGGGCCAAGAACCCCATCCTCCCCCTGCTGCTTGATTTAATTTCTGAAATGGACAGCACATCAGTAGGGGCACCCACGGGGCGGGAGGAAAGCTGTCCAGAGACAAAGGATTAAATTATTGCCATCTCCGGAGCTGCGGCTTGGCCGCGTGTTGCCGCCGTGGTGGTGTTGTAGCAGTTGTGACGCGGTGGTGGCCATGTCGCGCTCTGCACCTCTGCCTTGTGCACTGTCATCTTTCGTTCCCGCCCTGCCCGTCCATCTCTGTTCCCTCGGTGCTGTCCGGGTGTCTGTTCCTTTTGCGAGGGGACAAGGTGTGGTGGGAAAGTGTTACCCGCTGCCGCTGTATCTTTTGTGTCGGTGGCTGCTGTTCCCTCACCCTGTGGCGGTGCCTGCCTCCCGGCACCAAAGGCCGTCCTGGGTCCCTGTGAGTTCTGAGTTGCTCCAGGTCAGCGTGAACGTGTTACCCCTGCGAAGAAGGCCACATCCCCTCCCCAACGGTCAGTTTCCAGCCTCTTCCTCAGGCAGCTGGATACAAAGTCTCTGCTGGGGGGTGGTGTTCAGAGAGAGGGGCTTGGCATGTTTCCTGGACGCTCCAGGTTTTTGGAAGGGAGGCTAGAGGGGGGGCTCAGTGGCCGGAGCTGGTGGGCTGGAGCGGGGGGTTCGATGGCCTGAGTCTTGGACACTGGGCCTCTGGTCAGGGGGAGGCCCCTGTTCAGTCTCTAGGCCAGGCTCACAGCTGTGGCCTCCAAGGCCCCCAGCCACCGCCCTTCCGGCCCGTTCGTCCTCTCTTTGGCTGGTCCCAGGCCCCACAGACCAGTGGTCAGGGCTGGCTGGGTTTCCTGCTTCCCTCTCCTCTGACAGGGACAGAGAGGCTCGGAGAGGGGCAAGACAGGCAGGCAGGGAGAGGGGGAGACACACGGAGACCCTGGAGCAGGGGGACGACAGAGGCCGCACGCAGGGACAGATGTTCCAGCACACAGCAAGGCAGTCCCGAGGAGGGGGCTGCTGTAAGGGGGAGGGGTGGCCGGCAGGCGGTGGGGGGACCCCCCTCCCGGCGGTGTTAACAAGTCTAATTAAGAGGCCACTGGCCCAACTTAATTGGCTCGTTAACAGGAATTGCCTCTGAAAATCCCCCAACTCAGCGGGCGGCTCTCTGGAGGGGAGATGTGAAGAGTGTTAACGAGGGTCCTGCAGGCCCCCCTGCCCCGCCCCTCCCTTCCCCCTCCCAGCCTGGCTGCACAGATCTGGCTGGGAAGAGGGAAGCATCTGTCCTTCCAGGCTCAGGGGGTAGGATGAGGAGCTGGAGTTGGGGGTGTCCTAAGACTCCGCTCTCACTGGCTCTGCATGCCTGCCCCTCTCCTGCTGCTAAGCGTGATCCGCCTGGACTCTGTCCTGCTCACCGCCTCCCCCACCTGGCGCTGCCTCTGGACAGGTGCTGCCGTCCACCCTTCCACCTCCAGTCTCCTGGGCTCAGTCCATCATGCCTGGGTTGCCGAGGCCAGGGATGGGGTTTGCTTTTGGTTCTGACAGTCCCTTCCCAGGGGCAGGAGAGGACTTGTCAGAGCGCTCACTTAGTCCAGCTCCTCCCGCCCACACTACAGTTCCTGCCTCAAAAAGTTGACAGCCGCCAGGAGTTCCCCAGGGCTCCCTTCATGGTGCGCCCTTCTCTCTTCTGCTGCTGAGGCCTGGGTGGGAGGGGGAAGGGCTGTGGGGGGCAGGCGGAGTTGGGTCAAGAGGGGGAGGCAGGAGGACAGGTGGGGGAAGGATAGAGGCAGGACAGAAAGGCAGGGATGAGGGAGAGGACTAGCGGGAGGTGGAGCGCGGAGTCCAGGAATGGCCCCTCTCATCACCAGCTTGCTTGGGTGGTGGGTGTCGGTGATGGGCTGGACTTTTTGATGGCAAGAAGTTAGGATCATAGGGAGCTGAGGACAACTTTGAAAATGCCCCGGGGCCTGGAGGTGAGCAGGATTTTCACAGAGAACTGACTCTTCGCAGTACTACGCAAACACAATAACTCAGGCTTTCTCTCGCACACACACATACACACGTGCACACATACACACAGAGCTCCTGCACATATGCACAACTACAAATTTAGAAACACTCGCATACCTGCAAAGGAGAAGGCACACATGCCTCTTCTCCCCAAGACGCCTCACGGCCAGGGCGCCTCTCCCTGGGCTCACTCGGTGTCTTCACAGGGCCTCATCGGAGCATACCCACTGGGTGGTGCTAGGCGGGGCTGTGACCTGTGAACTTTGCCATGTCCTCTCTGCCCCCACAGAGGCGCCTCATGTTCAGTACGAGCGCCTGGGCTCGGACGTGACGCTGCCATGTGGGACAGCAAACTGGGATGCGGCTGTGACATGGCGGGTGAATGGGACAGATCTGGCCCCCGACCTGCTCAATGGCTCTCAGCTGGTGCTCCGTGGCCTGGAGCTGGGCCACAGCGGCCTCTACGCCTGCTTTCACCGTGACTCCTGGCACCTGCACCACCAGGTCCTGCTACATGTGGGCTGTAAGTGTTGCCCCCACCCCTTCATCTGATCTCCCACTGCCCTTCAGGCCCAGACCTCAGATCAAGTCCTCTTCCAATGGGGGGGGGCGGGGAGGGGGTGCTGCAGCCTGACCCTTGCCTTCTGACCCTGTCCTAACCTGTTCTTCTGACCTCTGAGCTAACCTGACCTTCTGACCTCATCTTGCCCAGTGAGTCCAGACCCTTAGACGTTACACCCCTGTATCCCACCTCTGAGAAGGTCCTTGCGGTCCTGAAATCCTGTCCCGTGGAACAGAACGGGCACAGGAGACTGGCGGCATGGCCCGCGTGGGGCCTGAGTGGGCAGGGAGCCCACAGTCAGCTCGGAGCCCAGTGGCTTCAGTGTGTCTGCTCTCAGAGGCTGCGGGAGGTCTGAGGGAGGGAAAGGGATACAGGCTATCCAGGTACAGATAAGAGCCCTCTAGGAGGGCCCCAGGAAGGAAGGAGTCTCTTAGACGAGGGGCACACAGAGACCCAGAAGGTACAGCGGAAGCTACAGGGAAACACCACTCGTGGCGGGGACTGAGTGTGAGTTAAGGCCTCCGCAGCTGGGTGTGCCTGGTGTCGATGGGGGGAGGGAGGAGTAATTATCTTGGAAGCTGGGGAGAGACATGGTCTGAGTCAGGTTCTCAAAAGAACCCTCTCACTGCAGTGGAGAGAGGCAGGTGGGACGGGGAAAAGCCAGAGCAGGAAGGGGCCGCAGCTAGATACAGGATGAGGATGTGGGCCTGGTACCAGGGCACGGAGTTGGGGAAGCTGGGTCGGGTTGGGGCTCCAGGGACCGGTGGGGGGTCAAGAACAGGAGAGTAGGGAGTGGGAGGTGGCTGGAGCTATAGTCACTGCAACAGGGAGGAATGGGAGGAAAAGACTGTTCTGTCTGAACAGAGTCTGGGTGTGGGTTTCCCTAGAATCAGATTATGAGATGAGAATTCATATCACAGGCCCATAGTTTATTTGGTGGGTGAGGGAAACACCATATAGAACTGGGAAAGTGATACAGTAGAAGTAAGCTAGTCAGCAGTGGGTTATCAAAGGTAATCGTGGTGACCACAGGGAATGCTGGATGTGGATGCAGAACACACAGCTCAGAGTCCTTCTGCCTACAGGGCGAGGGAGCTGGGGTGTATATATCACTCCTGCCACTTTCCGTAGAGGGATTCTCAGGGTGTGTGTGGGGTGCCTTCATTCCCCAGCACTTTTGGTTTGATGCCCCAGCAAGCAAAAACAGGCCTTGGTGGCCAGAGAAAGCTTTTGGTCAAATAACTGCAGAAGCTGGCAGTGGGAAGAGGTGTGGGCGAGGGATCTATGGCTTCACAGACATCAGCCACAGACATGTAGGATGGTGGTACTAGAAGACTAGGTGGTACTGGAAGCTGGTGGCTGACAGTCATGCAATCCAAGGGTGTGGGATAAGGGGACAGGGTCTGTGCTGGAGATGGGGACTTGGGGGGTTGTCAGTATTGTGGGGGGAGGTTTGTTTGTTTTTTGTTTTGGTACCGGGAATTGAACTCAGGACCCTATGCTTGCCAGGCAGGCGCTTGTGCCTCTGGGGTATATCTGCAGCCCAAGGGTTATCAGTATTAAGGCCATGAGAGGGGGTGAAGTGTCCTCAGGAGAGATTATGGGGTGGGAAGAGGACCCAGAACTCAGGCCGTCGGCATAGAAGGGGTTATTGGAGAAAAGGAGCCAGCAGGAAGGCAGCGGGAAGAGCAGCGCATGTGACTTGGAAAGGCGGCTGGGAGAGGCGAGTGTTGAGGTCCTCAGCATCACTGAGGGCCGTGTGGTCAGGCGCCTGCTCCCACCGAGTCTCCCACCAACGGAGTGAACTCTGAGAAAACCTTTACATTTTTTTCTCCTAAGTAAAAATATTCTGTTCTGGCTGGGCGTGGTGGTGCACACCTGTAATCCCAGCATTTGGGAGGCTGAGGCAGGAGGATCACTGTAAGTTCAAGGCCAGCCTGGGGTACATAGCGAGTTCAAGACCAGCCTGAATTACGTGGTGAGACATGGTCCTCAAAAGCAAGCCTCATGTTTCTCTGGCCTCAGCCATTGAGTGTCATTCACTCCAGCATCCAAAGATGGCTCCTGTATTCCGTGGAAACTACCTACAAGAGGCTTAAGGGCTTTGGGAACAGGTCCTTGCCTTCTTGTCAGGAGAGGCGTGTGGACAGCCGCGTGAAGTGTTAGGCTGAAGAGTTGCTCAAGGTTCCTTACAAAAATACTGACCCACCAGTGGGGCTGAATGAAATGTGAACATAGGTTTTGGTGGAGATGTGTCTTCCCCTTTAAAACTGTGTTTAAACTGAAGAGATGGTATTCAAGCCCAGCCTTTTAGTTGCAAGCCAAGTGTGGAGTGACCCCTTTTGGCCATTCTGAGACATGCAGGACCAGGCCTGCTATGGAGTCCAACAGCAGAAGAGCTCTCAGCCTAGGCCTGGGCCCTCAAACGGGGACAAAGCTGTTTGACGAGTGCCGTGGAAGGAGGAGGAGGCCGCCTCATCACCAGCCAGCCACAGCCCTGTCTTCTCGTGTGTGTCCCAGAAGTCCTCAGGATGGAGCAGGTTTAGCAGTGACGGCTGAGTTTTGGTGGCTGGGCCCCCATTCCTGTGAGCCTCAAGAGGTCATCGGAAGGGAATTGAATCTTGAAGTAATGGCCGTGGTCCTCACCCACAGGACATGCCCACAGCTGCCCTGTTGTGTCCAGAGCCCAGACTGCTGACATACAGTGCTGTCTGCCTCGTGGGCCCTGCCCGCCAGAGGAGGGCTGGTCATGGGTTGTCTGTGGCGTTCATAGCAGGTACTTATCTCTCATTACCTTATTTCCTTCTAAAGACCTGGCCAGAGAAACGGGGTATTAATCACGATTGTCTCAGTCACTTTATATTAGTAACAAGAGACTGGATTTGGCAACATTCAGTATCAAATTATCTTTATTACCAGTTCTCAGAGAACTAGACCAAGTTACCCCTGATTTGTGGGTCATTCGGAGATTAATATATTTAAAATTTATCTTAAACATGCAAGGTTTTTATGTTTGATTCATAAAAACATTCTGTTGAAAGACTCCTTAACCAAGCTGGCTGCTCACTGAATTGCTTTTTCCTGGTCCACATTTGCGCCCTGGGGAGGATCCTCAATAAATAACTCTGAATACTCCTACCTAGGATGATGAAAGGATCCCCCACATTAAGAAACGGGATCGCAGTGTTCCTTTTAATAGCATCCTTTTGTTTACTAGACACTGCTGATTCAGTGTCATTTTGATTCTAAGCTAAAACAAACCAGAGATTAAAATAATTTTTAAATGGACAGTTCCTCGTCCAGTTTTTAGATTTTGTAAAATTTGAGAGTGGTCAGGATGGAAACTTCAGACCCCCTGGTTCAGCACTGTTTTCCCCCCACCCTGTCTGGGGGAGGGCTGTGGTTGAAGATGTCTGGGAAGAAATCATGAGTGGGAGGCAAGAGGGGGGCATTTGACAGCCAGGACTTGGGGTGCTTTGACGGATGCCACAGATATGGTTGGGGCGGGCTGCGGTCCTTGAGCGCTGGGAGGGAAGAGGAGCGTGGGTGTGGTGTGAGCAGGGCCGGAGTGGAAGGGTCATCCTGCCCCGCCCTGGCCTGATCTGGCCTGGCCCAGGGTGTGGGCAGCCTGCCCCTCCTCCCCTCTGAGCCACGGGCAGGCCTCATGCGTGCCGGGGGCTCCAGCCCAGGCCGGCTGGCGAGATGAGAGGAAAAACATGCGGTTTGGTGGGCTGGACATGGAAAAACAAGCCAATTAGGAAGAAAACAAACAAACCTCAGGCCAGCGGGGGCACACGCACGCATGCACACGCATGCACACACAGCCCCGCATGGGTTTCAGAGACGCCCTGCACGGCTGACGGTCACTAAGGCATCTCAGGAACCCCCACATGAGGAAAGCAAGGGTGCCTCGGTATCTCAGAGCGTGCTCGTATGCCCAGAGTGCGGTGCTGTGTATGTGCCTAAGTTTTTGCTCCGACACCTTCTCTAAAGTGCTGCACGGTGTCCAGCTCATACGTGTAGACCTGCCGGGCACTGGGCATCTTCCCACACCCTCAGTGTGAAAAACACACGCAGGCTTAAGCTCTGCCGTGTGCCCATGTCCCGTGTGTGTAGCGTAGCTGTCCCTGTGTCTCAGACACAGCGGCACATTAGCATTCTCGGAGAGGACCTCGGATCCACAGCCTCACACAGAGATACTCTAATCAAGTGGCCTCGCTCGGAGCCGCAGCACCAGTGGCCGGGGCCCTCACAGCCGCCAGCCCTGCAGTTCCACGGCCGCCCAGAGTCTCGTCCGGGAAGCCTCGGACTGCCGTGCGGCGGCGCCTCACAATCAGTGTCTTAGAAACAGCTTTCCCTCCAGTTCGCAGCACATCGCAGGCCTCCCGGCCCACACTGCCCCAGTCACACTCCGTCTCTCGCAGCACCCCCACCTCCGCCCACCCGGCCCTCAGCTGGGCTCCAGCTGCAGCAAGTCACTCCTTTTCTTCCTTTTTCTTTGTTTTTCTTTCCTCCTTTTCCCTCTGCAAAACCTGGTCCCTGTCAGGAAACCCAAGCCCTTCCCTGCTCAGGGCCCAGGGCCAGGCAGGAGTAGCCAGATGACACAGCCCTGCCCGGCCCTGGCCCCCCTTCAGCCTGCCCAGTCCGAGGGGCGCTGGTCTGAGGGGAGTTTTGCAGGGAGGCTGATCTGAGCGGGGAGGACAGCCGGAGGGGAGCGGAGGAGGCTGGGCAGTGGGAAGCTGGCCTGGGGAGGAGGCCTGTGAGCCCGCGCCCTGGCCTGCTCTGCCCTCCAGAGCCCTGGGCAGCAGGGAGCTGACTCTGCAGGCTTCAGTCCCCACTCCACCCCCAGTGCCCTTCTGCTTTGAAGCTGGAGGCAAGGGGGGGTGTGGCAGCAGGAGCGGGGAGTGCAGGCTTCCCGGCGACCTCGGAATGTCCTTTCCTCCCGGGGTGGCTGCCAACTGCGGCCTGGCCCACAGGCCCCCAGAAGGCACTTCCTGTGTCCTTGGCCGCCCCCACCCCACCCCATGCAGAGTTCAGTGCCTGTGAGTAGATAGGGAAGGGATACGAAAAACACATAGGATGAGTATGGACCAGCTGCAGGGCCAGAAAGGCTTCCCTGGGGCGGCAGGCAGCGCTGGGATGAACACGGGCTGGGCCTGTGAGTCCCAGCTGGCAGCAGGAGCAGAGCTGCCGAGGCCCCCAGCACTGCCGCTCCACCTGCTGCACAGGCGCCCTCCTGATGCTGCTGTCCTGATCGCTGCCGCTGCACGGCCAGGTCCGGGCTCTGGGGGCTGTGTCCCAGGCTCCTCCACGGCCTCATTCAGACTGACACACTGCATGTGGACAGGCAGTCACACAGTCTCTCCAATCACATGCGCCTCGTGGACGGAAGCCCGCAGTTCCGTGTCACCATGGCCACCCTACAAGCACAGACATGTTCTCCTGCACTGTCCCTGGCTTACTGAACTGCCCCTCCCACTTCCTGTCCACCTGTCAGGCAGGAGGCGGGGGCTGGGGGGGAGGACAGAAGTGAGGTGTCAGTGTCCCTGGAGCCACAGACAGAAATTCCTTGCCTGGGTCAGATCACAGAAGCTGCCTCCTTCCAGGAACCTGAGCTGCCTGTCCTCACACCTTGCCCAGTGCGTGACGGTGGGACAGCTGGGCTAAGTGCTCACAGCAGCAAAAAGCCTGGCTGGACAGCAGAAAGGACTTCCTGCCTGCGGTCATGTGGGTGGGACCCACATTCTGGGGCTTCTGCACAGCTCCGGCTTGCTGTGTGACCTCAGGCAGGTTCCCAGCCCTTTCCGGGCTTCATGTTCCAGAGTGAAGGTAGCTGCCGATCAGGTCATGGACTCTTTGAGTGGTCTGAGATGAAGTGGGGGCTGGGGCTGAATGAACCGAGGGAACTGTAGCTACCTTGTAACGGACACTTACACACACATCCACAGGGGTGCTCCTGCGTGTCACTGGCCGCTCATTCCTCACATATGTGACGTACACCCATGCATGCAGACACCCGCATAGATAGCACATGACTCGCTGTCCCATGTCGTTGGTCCTTGTGGCCGCCGGGCTTTTGTGTGTCTCAGTCTCTCCTGAAGGCACTCTTGGGGTGTCTCTTCTCCAGGAAGTGCCCCCCAGTAAACCTGGCAACCAGAGGGCCCATTCGAGACCCACTTTGGTCTCTGTAGCACAGTCTTCTGGGAGAGGACAGGATGGCAGGTGATGTGGGCTGGGGCCGATTCCCTACGACATCCCCTGCATCCCGTGATTGATGAGCTGAGGCCTGCAGCTCCTGCTCCCCACAGTCCCTGCCTCCATTGAGCAGGTGGGGGAGTTTCCTCCGCACAGCCCTTGTTTTTCTTTAATTAAACATCTGGCTCTCTGTGGCCTGGGAAGCCTCAGACCCTCGCTGACAGCCCCTACCTCTGCACCTTCGGCATCGGTGATGGGCTGGGGGCTGGGCTCTGGGGCCCACCTGTCTCCACACTAGTGCGGGGGACTGGGGGCTCTGAGAGTGTCCTGACCTTGCTGTCCTCACCCCCAGTGCCGCCGCGGGAGCCCGTACTCAGCTGCCGCTCCAACACTTACCCCAAGGGCTTCTACTGCAGCTGGCATCTGCCCGCCCCCACCTACATCCCCAACACCTTCAATGTGACCGTGCTGTGAGTAGCTGCACCTGTGACCCGGCCCCAGCCCTGACCCCCGACCTTCCCCTGGCCCCTATCATACCCTGAGTCCTGACCCCAGCCCAGTGTTGGGCTGGACCTTCCCCAACCTGCCCCCATTGACCCTTGATGTTGATACAGTACCTGGGCCTCCCCCTTCCCAGGCACGGCTCCAAGATTATGGTCTGCGAGAAGGACCCGGCCCTCAAGAACCGCTGCCACATCCGCTACATGCACCTGTTCTCCACCATCAAGTACAAGGTCTCCATCAGTGTCAGCAATGCCCTGGGTCACAACGCCACCGCCATCACCTTCGATGAGTTCACCATCGGTGCGTGTGGCAGTGGTGGTGGGGTCCCCGTTGTACACTTCAGTAGGAATGCACAAATGGAAGTGTGTAGAGGTGTATCTGAGCGTCAGAGAGTATGTCCACAGGTGTGCACATAGGCATGGCATGTTGTGCTGGGCACAGGTATATGTGATATGTATATGCATGTGCACATGCACGCATGACCTATAAACACCTGCGACCATACAAGTGAGTGTCTTTTGCCTGCAGGGCCAAGAGCAGCTCCAGCAGCTCTTTCCATTGTCTCTCTGGCTTCCAGAGCATGCAGGGGGAGGGGGCAGCTGGGCCAGACCCTTGTGCAGCTGCAGCCTCCACCCCCCCATGCTAATGGCTTCCTTACGGCCTGTGATGAATGAGGTGTCAGAACAGGAGACAGGACTGGGACAGATACTGCACTCTCCCCAGTCCCCCTCCCGGCCAGACCCTCTACCTGCCCTTGCCCTATTCCCGGCAAGTTCTGTCTGCTCCTACCCCATCCCAGTCAGACCTTCTGCCTGCTATCCCAGCGGAGCCAGGCCCTGCTGCCTATTCCTGTCCCATCCAGCCTGACCCTCTGCTGGTCCCTGCCCCATCCATCTCGGCCTTTCTCTGCTTCATCCCCACCAGGCACTCCACCTGCCCCCATCTGCCCCAAATCCAAGCTCAGATCTCCCGCCAGAGTGTTTCTGCACGAGCTGACCCCTCCGATGTTCCCCTCAGACCCCCAGTCTATGTCTAAGCCGGGTCTGCAGTATCTGTGCACTGTCTTTTAACCTTCACCCACAGAGCAGCGTCAGACCCAGCCCCTCCCAGGAGAGGCCATGTGTTAGTTCTGAACTGGAAAAGCTGAGAGACCAGGGCTGGGGGAGCGTGTGATTCTGGTGTAGCAGGAAGCGGTCCGGGTGGCAGTGGGGTGGCCGAGGCCACGGTGGAGGCATCGTGGGGGCTTTGTCACTGAAACGCTGGTCAGCATGAGGCTGGGCCCGACGTGGTGGAGTGAAGGTAGGGTACAGACACAGAGAACTGGTGACCCTGACCGTAGAGCAGCCCTTGGTGACGACGGGGTGTCAGAGGTGGAAGCAAGGAGATGGGCGTTGTGGGGGTTGCTGGGACGGACACCAGGAAGAGGGATGACGACCATGGTGGAGATGACCGCGCTCGGCAGCAGACAGGTGGACGAGGTGCAGTTTTCCCCAGAGGCCAGCGCACAGACAAAGCCCTCTCCCCTGAACAGTGAAGCCTGACCCTCCAGAAAATGTGGTGGCCCGGCCAGTGCCCAGCAGCCCCCGCCGCCTGGAGGTGACGTGGCAGACGCCCTCCACGTGGCCTGACCCTGAGTCCTTCCCTCTCAAGTTCTTTCTGCGCTACCGACCCCTCATCCTGGACCAGTGGCAGCATGTGAGTACCCCGCCCTTCCAGACCCGGGGTGCCCGAGTCACAGCCACACCCCAGGGGGCACCTGATGGCAGTCGGAGAGGCTTTTCAGGGGGCGGGAGGGTGAAGCGGATGGAGGGCGGACGGAGCGGGGGGAGCTGTCTGGAGGGTTCCCGGTGGGCACACGTCTGTCCTTGTGGCAAGGCATCGAGGTGCTAAGGGGACATGGCCGGCAGGGCAAGCAGCAGCTCCCTCTCCCTGCCTCTGCTGTCACCCCTGACCAGCCTTCTCTCTTTACACTCTGGCCCAGGCTGTTCTGCTGGACCTAGCACCAGGACAGTCCCTGCCCTCAGGGATTCGCAGATGGGCCCAAGAGGTCGGAGTCAGGCACCAAGGTCAGGCTTGGTCCAGAGAGCGAGTCTAGACCATGCCTAGCGTCAGGACTCCAAAGTCAGACCCAGCTTAGAGATCGGCTTGAGGTTATAGGTCAGGTGGCAGCCTGGGCTGAGAATCAAGCGGTGGACAAGGGTCAGTGTGTGGTCAGGCTGTGGTCTGGATGTTGATCAAGCTGTGTTGGAGAGCAGCCAGGGATTTGGAGCAGACTTAGGGGTGTTCTCATGCTGAGAGCTCAGGGACCCTCAGGCTGTGGGCTCTCTGTGTGGCCCGTGAGGTCTGTGAACCAGGACTGGGGTTGGGAGAGTGCTCCATGGGGCAACCCAGAGTGGCCGCTGGCTGTCAACCTGTACCCCAACTGTGCACACCATCTCGGGCCCTGTCTCCTTATACCTGCCGCCTTTCTGGCCTTTAAAGCATGTAATTCGATTCCAGGGTGCCTGTCCACTTGTGGGCCTGGCCCCTACAAAGGCTGCCCACACACTCACGTGTTCGCTGACAGAGTCCGGAGTCTCTCCCGCCTGGCCAGCTGCCCGCGCCTAATGCATTGCTAATAACCAGGGTCTAGTTTCACAAGCCCCCCTCCCCCGCTAACGAGTTACAGGCAGCAGCCCCGCGCGTCGCAGCACACACGCCTTGCAGTGGACCTGGCACACTGCCCACCACACACACGGGAACACGCACACACACGTGGCTCCCAGCAGGAACCATGCTCATACATGTGTTGGACTAACACGCCAAGACCAGGCAGTGGCCTGCACTGTGGCTAGAACTGACCCCTACACTGACACAGGCAGGACAAAGTATGCAGGTTCCATGGCAAGCACATGTGTGGCCCATGGCCCATCCCAGCCTGGCTCCGTGTCTCACAGGCATTAGGGTTGGTTAGATTTATTGCTCTTTTCAACTTGAGTTTTGCTCCGAGCAGAACGTATTTTCCCCGCCCTTGATCTTGGGGAGAGGCAGGTGCACGATGGGAAGGGACGTGGACTGGAGAACAGAGGAAACATCCACCGGATTCCTAGGGGGAAAATACAGGCCAGGAATGGAAAACAGTGGGCACCCAGGGTCTGGCAGGGATTGGCTCAGGGGACGAGCGGGGCAAGCCTGGGACCTGGTGTGGGCTCCCTGCCTGTCCTGCTCTGGCACTGACTCAGGTGGGAGGCCTGGGGCAACTCGGGCATCTGCTGCATCTGGCCAAAGGCAAGGTGGCTGCCAGCAGCAGAGGAGTTTTGCTGCCTGAGGAACTCCTCTCCTAAGGAACAGGTGAAGGGGTCGGTGACAACCTAGCAAGAGGGCTCCAGGCCCAGGAGAGGCGGCGGCCAGCACAGCGCCGGGCTCCTGGGGTATGGTCCTGGAGTCCTGGCGCCTTGGCGCCTCCAGGACACGGCGAGGTGGCGTGTAACCTGTCCCGTGTCTTTGGGGAGAGGCGAGTGTGCAGCTCTGCAGGCCAGGAAGCAGGGAGAAGGGGCTGAAAGAGCTTCGGCGGCTGCTGCTCATCCACAAGTGACCTTTGCGAGGCGGAGAGACCGAAGGCTCAGAGGTGGAACTGGGGCCTCAGCTTCAGGAGAGGAGAGTCTCGAGGCCCACCCATCCTTCAGGACTGAGCTAGAATTCACTGAGCCCAGGGTCTGACCCAAATGTCCCTCAGCACGACCCTGACCTTTACCAGGGCCTCCCAACTCAGCACGAAGTGGAGGGGCTTCCTGCTCCGCGCGGACCTGCTGAGTGTGCTCAGTGCCTGTCAGTCAAGTAGCCCAGACCCCAGTTTTCTGGGGGGAAGGTTGGAACAGGGACCGAAAAGGCCCCGAAGCCAGACGTGGCCCTGAGCAGCCCCCTTCTCCACCCCCACCGCCTGCCCCTGTTTACGAGGCGGCTTAATGAGGCAGCGGGTGCCGCTGAGATGAACCAGAGCCCAGCCTGGGCCTGGGAGGGGCGCTGGACAGGCAGCCTGGCCTGGAGGGTGGGGGAGGCCCGCAGGATGGGGCCAGCCAGCGGGGGTGGGGTGGTGATGCCTCAGGAGGAAACAGGACTGCGGTCCTGCAGCCCCCGGAGCTGCCTCTCCCCTTCCCAGCGCAGGCAGGGTGATAGCCGCACCTGAGGCGGAGGCCCCGTAGAAGCTGGAGCCACAGTCTGGCTGGTGGGTTCAGTAGGCCTCTGGGAACCTGGGCGCTGGGCTGCAACCACGGTGACAGTGCTGGCTGCAGTCTATTTGGTACTTTACACGTGGCTTAGTCCTCATTATAACCCTAAGAGAGAGATACCGTATTGTCATTAACACTGTTTTACAGACGGGCTGGCAGAGCCTTGGAAGCTAAGCAACGCAGTCACCTAGCTTGTAAGGGATGGAGCCGAAATGTGAGCTCAGGCAGCCTCCCTCTGGCGTCCATGCTTGTGACCCTCTCCATCAGCTGCGTGTCACACGAGAACAGACCCCACGTGTCCTCCCAGTCGTTGCTCTTGTCACCTCCAGGCTGGGACTGAGGTCAAGGCTCAGGTTGGAGGGAAAGAGCTGGGACCACAGCAGCGTCCAGCCCGCCGGGCAGAGTTGTCCTGGGGAGTTCTGGTCTCCTTCAGGGCTATTCCTGTCCTCCAGGGGTCTTCTCCTGGAGCTGTCTTCCCTCCCCTGCAGGAATATTTCCAGGTCCCCCTCTTCCCCCCAGGGAAGCCCTCGCCCTCTCCAGGGGCATCTTTACTGGCCTCTCCTCAAGGGCATTCCTGATTCCTGCTGGGCGAGGGCCTAGCTCTCCTTCCCCGGAGGCGTCCTCACCGCGCCCCCACGGTCTGGCTGCAGGTGGAGCTGTCGGATGGCACTGCACACACCATCACGGATGCCTACGCTGGGAAGGAGTACATCATCCAGGTGGCAGCCAAGGACAACGAGATAGGGACATGGAGCGACTGGAGCGTGGCTGCCCACGCCACGCCCTGGACGGAGGAGCCGCGACACCTCACCACCGAGGCGCAGGCCCCGGGTGAGCGCAGCCTCCCTCCCTGCACCCTGGGCCCTCTGCTGCGTGCCCTGTAGTCTGCCTCTGTCCTGCTCCCCCCAACTCCTCCCGCTCCGGGAGCCTCTGCTCTCAGGGTCTCCACACTCTCTGTGGCTGCCCAGCTCCCGTCTGTCTTTCCAAGCCTGGACTCCTGCTTCTTCCCACCTAGACGTCCCTGGAAGGAGTTACTGGGTGGAGGGGTCGCCTCTGAGCACGAGGAGCAGAATCTACAGAGCGGGGAGGCAGGGCGTGTTTGAGAAAGGAGACAGGCGTGTCTGGTGGGGAAGTGGGAACAGCACGCCTCCCCTACGCCTGATCTGGGGTGTCCCGGCCCCGGCCCTGCCCTAAGTTTCCCCCATGCTCCCCAGAGACCACGACCAGCACCACCAGCTCACTGGCACCCCCGCCCACCACGAAGATCTGTGACCCCGGGGAGCTGGGCAGCGGCGGAGGGTCCTCCACACCCTCCTTGGTCCGTGTCCCTGTCACTCTGGCCCTGGCTGCCGCTGCCACCGCTGCCAGCAGTCTCCTGGTCTGGTAGGTGGCGTGAGGCTGGGTGGGAGGGGGAGCCAGAGGGGACCCCTGTCCCAGCTCACCCCTCAAGGCCGTGCACTGTCTCCCCAGAGCAGGACCCTGTGAGAACTCCCGGAGCACCTGAGGGGCAGGAGGCCGGAGCGGAGCCCGCAGAGCCCGGTTTCTATTTTGCACACGGGCAGGAGGACCTTTGCATTCTCTTCAGACAATTTGTGGAGACCCCGCGGGCCGGGCCTGCCACCCTGAGCCCGGACACGCCGAGCGGCCGCCTCCCTCTCAGAAGGAGGACCATGCAGCTGACCCACCCACCAAAGACCCCCCTGCCCTGCCCCCCTGGGCTGGACCCTCCAACGCCAGCGACCCCCAGGAGCCCCTGGGGGGCCTGAGGGGAGCCCCTCACACCCACAGTTTCTCCTCCTGCCCCCGCCTCCTGTCTGTCCCAGGGTCTCTGTTGCCACCATCAGATTATAAGCTCCTGACGCTGGGGGGCCCAGCCGTCCCCTCCCCCAGTGCCTCACTCTTCGGCCCCCTCACACCTGCCCGTTTTGTATGCCCGCTCCTGACTGCCCTGCCCACAGTATTTAATGCCCCGTCAGCCCCTTCTAGTCTGACTCAGTGGTAACTTGCTGTATTTGAATTTTTTATAGATGTATATACAGGGGTGGGAGGGGTGGGAGGTTCTCATTAAACGTCACCATTTCATGAGTCCTTGGCGCAGAGCCACTTTGGGAGGGCCCCCCTCTTCGGAGGACCCCCCACCACCTGCAGGCCTGGAGGAGGAAGGCGACCACCACTGGGGAAGACGGGAAAGACAGCTCAGCTTTCAGGCAGATGGCGCGGGAAGTGCTCTCCACTTCCTGTGGAGTTGGGCTTCCCTGGAGAGTGCAGCCGGGAGCGGACTTGTGGGAAAGGAGATGCCAGTGGGGACTGTTCCCACACAGCGTCTTCAGTCAGTCCTGGAGGCCGCTGAAGCTCTGGGCAAGCCAGGGGTCTTGCTGAAGACCATCTGCAGAGCTACCTTCCAGGCAGAAACGAAGAAGGTGGGGGCCACCTGGCATCGCCTGTGGGGCAGGTGTGTGTGCGTGCGCATGCATGCTCGCGCTGCTGTTCAGGAGACACAGTGAGGGGCAGCAGGTTGGGCCTCGGGCTCCCGGGGGCTCTGAGCACGGTGCCCTGGACCTGGGCAGGCAGGGTAGGCTGCCTGAAGGAGGAGGCTGCGTGGAGAATGACTGGGGCTTGGACCGGCATTCAAGGCCTGGAATTGCAGAGGGCAGGGCTGACGCCAGGTTTCGATTACAGTACAGTTAAGACTCAGTGCGGAGCTGCAGAGGGGCCGGCAGGGTTTTGGTTTACAAGGTGGCCAGGCGTTGGTCCAGCTCCAGTCTCCAAATTGGGGTCAAGGTCCCTCTGTTTCTCCTGGCTGCTCCGGCCCTACTTAGCTCCAGCCTACCTCATGGAAGCCACCTCTCCGAGACTCCTTAGCTGAGAGTGCCCCGGGGCTGGGCCTACGTGGCAAACCCTCTGACCTGGGAGTGGGGGCGCGGGGTCGCCAGAGCTCCAGCCCCACACCAGGGTTGGCCTTGCTCTAGGCCTCCAGCCCGGTGCACGCCCCCAGAGCAGGTGCTCAGCACACCCCCCACGCCTTCCCACCCCCGCTCGCACCCCTCTCCTCAGACCGGCTCTGAGGGCAGATGCGCCCCCTGGCCTTCCCAGGCCCCCCTGGGACCTTGCCCAAGGAAGTGCTTGGAGCACTGATGAGTCAGGCCTGGAGGGCAGTCCCTGAGCTGGGCCCAGTGAGAAGCCGCAGAAGGGAGGTGGTGGCTGTCCTCCAGGCGCAGGGCAGAGGGTGCTCCAGGTGGGAGACTTGCGGGAGACAAAGGCCTGGTGTCGGGGAGGCCTGCGGCTTTTCAAGCTGAAGAGCCCAGCTGTGGGAGTGTGTGGCTGTGTTCACGGGGGAGGCTCCCGAGCGGACACCTTGAAATGTGCCCATTGATCTTCCTCTGCTCCCTGGACCCCCAGTTCTGCCTGTTTGATCCCTTGAGATGAGGCTCCGGACAGAAGCCGTCCTGCAGGTCCGGGAGGAGCAGAGAGAATGAAGGATCGCCAGCTCTTGCCAAGACGCTGTTCCTGGCCGTGTCAGAACCCCGCACTTCTCTGTCTTGGGGTGGGTGGGCGGAAGTTGGAGGGCCTTTGGCCTGGGCTGCCTTCCTGCCTTGAGAGCCTTGGTCAGCCTTGACCCACGCACCGCCCGCCCAGGTCTTGGGCGTCAGCAATCTGACCTCTTAGCAACATGGGAAAGCAATGAGGCGAGGCCTGGGGAGGAGGGGGTGAAGGGAGCAGGCCTGCTGGAGCCCTGGAGACCTATGGAGGGGAGGACTGGGGTATCCCCTGCGCCCAAACTCAAGAGGGACCCAGCTCTGTGCTGAGCCCAGGTGGGCAGCGGGCAGCAGGGGTGTTTATCTGCCCTTCACGCTTGCGAGGCCCGGCTCCTCTGCCTCACTGAGGACGCCTACCTTGGAGGTTCCCGGCTGACGTCTGCTGTCCTCCGTTGGCTACTGTCCCTCCACATCCCTTCCCTATGGTGGTTCTGGGGGCTGGGAACAAGTGTGGACACCAGGGGTTTGGGTTTTTGGGTGTTTTTGTTTTTCGCTTTTTGAGACAGGGTCTCCCTGTGTAGTTCAGGTTGGTCCTGAACTCACTATGTAGCTCAGGCTGGCCTTGAATTCATAGCAATCATCTTGCCTCAGCCTCCCAAGTGCTAGGATTACAGGTGCGCATCGCCACGCTCAGCCAAGACATCGGTTCCTGCAACTGAGACAGAACCCAGGGGATTAACACACTACAGAGAGACCTAGGGAGAGAGTTTGGACCCCGAGCCGAAGTGCACAGTGGCCCTGCGGTCGGCCTTACAGACCACTAGTTCTGTTTGCTTTCCTCAGGTGGGAAACGCTCCCAGTGTCTGTTCTGGCCGCGCCCTGGTCACCCTGCCTGTCCTCAGCGTGGCCGTGGCCGTTCTCACCACTCCAGATGCCTCTGTCCCTGTCCTTACTGAGATCACTCACATCTCGGCATCGGGTCTCTTTCCATCCCATTCCTCTCTGAGTACCTTTGCCCTGGTCTTTATCTTCGTATCTTCCCAGTCTCTCACCTCGTCACTGTTGCAGGTATGTCTCCACTTCTCATCCCCTCTCCCCTCTGTGCTTCTGCTTTGTCTGTGGCTCGCTGTCTCCAGCCTGGTCTGTGTGCATCTCTCTTCCGGGTCTGTCAGTCTTCCATTTTCGCCTTCCTGTTGCTTCCTCTGTCTCTGTTTCTCTGTCTCTCCGTGTTTCTCTGTCTCTCTACAAGCACCTCCATCTCCACCTCCACCCCGCCTTGAGCCCGCCTCCCTGACTCCATCGTTCCTTCTTTCCTTGCCTCTTTCTCTGTGTTCCCACCCCAATCCAGAGCCCCTGCCCGTGCCGCAGCTCTTCTCCGGCCTGAGCCACAGGCTGTCCTAGATTCTGCTGCCCCCTCTCGGCCACCTGCCTGCCCTTCATCCCCACTCCCAGGCTGTGGGCTGTCAGCAGGAGGCCCTCCTCCCGTCAGTCAGCCAGAGGGGCCAGAGGGCAGGACCTCCTCCTGGGCAACCTGTGGTCCCCAGAACTGCCCAGAGCAAGGGGGCTCGCTACCTCATAGGTTCGTTCTCACGTGGAAGGACAGAACGCGTGGCTCTGGATCTAAGCTGTGTACCCTGCGTCTGGGGTCTGCTCCTCCTGAGGCCCGCACATCCAGAGATGCCTTCTGGGGGGGGGTGGTCAGAGGAGACAGAAGAATTGGGGGTACTCTCCCCACTTCTGCCTCTCCTCGGAGGTAAGGTAGGTCTGAGGAGGTGGGAGGGCCCTTATCTGAGGGCGCCACTCTGACGAGAAAGGCCACCCTGAAGGTCAGTGGGTCTGTGAGGGCTGTGCGGCAGGATCAGGCTGGGGCGCTGGCCTGGGACAAGCTTCTGCAGTTTGTCTGAAAAGGGCGGTGTGCGTGG